GGCCTTTTATGGTGTTTTTGGGGTGGTAATTATGCTAATCTCGTCTCGCGTGCACGAGCAGCTGGATACGAACAGGTGGAATTTACGCAGCTCATTTACGCACTTTTTCTGAAGAAAGAAGAGTTTGTTGAATCTGACGTGGTATGTTCGTACGAACCCTTTGTACGAACAAAAAGTAAGAGAAATTTAGGATAAGAATACGAACATGTTCTTGCATGAGGCCCGTTGTGTGTTAACAGTTTTAGAGCTACGTACATCCAACACTACTTTCTGAGAATTTTATTAAATCTGTGTTAGTTCATGTGACAGATAACAGGGTTGATTCCTACATTTAATGTTACAATTTTAAATCAACACCGTGTGTTAGGGCTCAGTTATCAGTCTCAGCTACAGCCCCACCAATAAGCTCAATATTTGTGGAAGTTTATCATGCTGTTAGTTTTCAGTAGCTAGACTTCCAGTGGTTTAGTTTCTTTAAGTTCATAAATTCCTCCAGTGGTTCATGAGTTATTCTGTCAACAGACAAACACAGACAGAGTTGCCATCTTACCACTGCATCGATCCGGCTGAGCATACTGAGCTCCGGACAGGCCTGGCTGAGCGATCCAGTGCTCGTCGTCCTGCTGCTCCCCACTGTGAGCTGCTCCCTGTGTCTGACTGTTAAAAGGCGTGATGGTGGTGGTAGCGTACAGCGCGGTGGAGGAGTTTTGGTTGTAAGTGAAGCCGTGCAGGTCCTCGCTGGTGGCATCGATGGTGCTGTAGATGGGCCCTTCGGTGGAGCCTCCCATGCTGTACTTCTCAGTCTGACTCAGGTAGTTGGAGATGCCAGCTTCTGTTAAAGACAACAGATTGGACCTAACTCTCCCGTCTTGCTTTGGTTTAAGCTCAAGCACGCTGGAGCACACTCAGGAGACACTCCTACCATTATAGTATCTCTCCGATGTTTCGTGATTGGCTGAGCAGCAGTTGACAGCCTCCTTACTGCTGTGGACCAGATTGGATGCTGGCCAGGAGTCTGCCAGCCACGGGTAGTTGCCCACATTGCTTCCCAGCATGCCGGGCCTATGGAGACATTCTGGCATTAACTTCGAGCATCAAGCAAAAGCAAGAACTGTTCAGATGGAAGTATATCAATACCGTGTGGAGAAAAGAAAAAATAAACAGGGTACAGATCCCTAGGCCAGGAGTAACAGGAGGGAATATTGTAATAAAGGACATTACTCATTGAAAAGTGAAACCTTGTCCATATAAAAAGTACCCAGAAATTACTGATTGATTTGGCATCAAAAACAAGACAGAACTGGACGCTGACTGTCGCTGATGTCCCCCRTCTCTGATGGACGGATGGACAGTATTTCAATGTCCCCTGCCTCAGTGATGGGGGACGATAAATCTGATTTTGCTGATTTGGGCTAAAATGAYAACAGTTCTTATAAACCATCAGAGGCAGGTGGACGTTGTGTGTCTACAGAAGTGCTTGTCGCTGTGGAAGGTAAAGGATAGCTGGTATACTGTAGCATGTAAACAATCACAGGATCACTTCAGTTCTGTTAGAACCTGGTTTGTTCAACTGAAAGAGGATCAATATCAATAACAGTCAATGTGTGGACACCTCAGATCATGTGGTTTTTTTTATCAGGGTCAGTTTCAGGGAGAGCTGGGCAATAATTCAAAAACAATAAATATGGCGAGAGACACGTGTTCAATATAAATAAAAACATGTCCAATAAACTGTATTATAGATTAAATTCACTGGTTACKAACTGCTAACGATTTATAACTTTCTGATAAATAAGCTAGGACCTTTCAGCTGAACAACATCTGGAAAGATAAGACTTTTTTTTGATTTGGTGTCCTCTTTGGTCGTCTCCCATTAAGTCCACTTCAGCTCAAACAAGGACGGATGGTGTGATCTGACCCTGATGTTCCTTGAGCTTGAAGTTCACCTTTAATCTCTCTAGAAGTTTTTTTGGCTCTTTTATCATTTGTATTATCTGTCTCTTTGATTTGTCGTCAGTTTTCCTCCTGTGGCCACATCCAGGGAGGTTGGTTACAGTCCCATGGATCTTAAATTTCTGAATAATCTGTGCAGTTGTAGTCACAGGAACAACGAGCTGCTTGGAGAAGGTCTTATAACCTTTACCTTTAACATGCTTATAACCTTTACCTTTAACATGCTTATAACCTTTACCTTTAACATGCTTGTCTATAATTTTATTTCTAATCTCTTGAGACAACTCTTTCCTTGGCTTCCTCTGGTCCTTGTTGAGTGTGGTCCACACCATGTCACCAAACAGCACAGTGAGTATCTGCAGGCCTATATAAAGGCCCATTGACTGATTACAAGACTGTAGACACCGGTGATAATAATCAGTGGACACATCTTGATATAACATGTCCCTTTGGTCACATTATTTTCAGGGGTACCATCATTTCTGTCCAGGCCTGTTTTATGAGTTTTTTTCTTTTTTAAATTATGGCTGAAAAGCAATGTCTGACTTTCATTTGTTGATTGTCATATGATGATTATCAGTGCATGCAAAGCACTGGGAAGAGGATATGCAAATATAATCACTTAGCACCACAATGTGATTTATCAAAACTGAAAGTGATCGCAGTTAATGTTTTTGCATCTATATTCAGCACATTTGCAAGGAAGATGCATACTGACACAAACATGTCCGTGGTGATTGTGGAAAAAAGTAGCAAAGGTACAATGAAAAACAACGGCGAGAGAGAATGTGTGTGTATCAACACGTTAGGACTGTCAGAAATAAAATACAGTATACTGCAGTGGAGACATATTGTCTATCCAGCTATACCATGTTTGAGCTGCTGGAGGACATGTGGACTGATGTGATGTTGTCCAGAATGTCTGTAAATTACACAGATTTTCCACTATTTTGCATGTAAACAAAATCTCACAAATTTCTTCTAAAACTCAGCTTCAAATTTATTTTGCATCTCAGATATGGCCTGTAAGTTCGCACTCATTAGAATGCTAAAGCATCCCATGTTTTCTGCCCCACAGACTGKCAGACCAAACATTATATATACAGTATATACAGTGTATACAGTATAAGATATATAGATATAGATCTTCTACAGCAGAGATTCTTAAACTATGGGCCGTGGCCCAATTGAGGGCCTCAAAAGAACAACAGTTTTTAACTTTGGGCCACAGAGGGCCGCGGG